GGCACGTCTTCAAGAGCAAGAAATTATGCACATAAACCGAATAACAAGAAAATTGTAACCGAAGAAGAGGAAATTAAGAGTCAGCGATTATTGCGGCCAATGCAACGCCGCTCATTCGAGTGTAACAAATGGAGGAATGGCAACATTTTGAAAAATTAAAACATAACAAAAAATTTTTGCTTTTTTTAGCGCATTCTCTCATTTATGGAGAAAAGGCGCTGTTGAGCTCGTCATGTCCGTCTTTCTGCCTGTCCGTCTGTCTGTCCGTGACTTCACGTTTTCGTCGACGAGAAAATGCGCTCTCTGTCACTCACTGCAGTGAGTACTGAGTTATATTTTTTATCTAAGTTCACGATGGTCAAAAAAGTCATCGCAGTTAATAGTCAAACTTGGTTTGCCTTCTTTACATGCGCATGTGAACCTAATATGAAATTGGTAATGCATTTAATTTACCTGAATAAACAGCTATGTTTTAATTTGCCACATTACTCTCCTCACCTTGTACTCCGATAATATTTCAGTAAGGAAAGTATTATTTGATATGCTTATACCGGTGATATTTTTAATAATCAACTTCTTGACAAACAAATACGCAGCTAATAACAAAAGTATATAAGTATATATAACAAAATTATTAAACTCATATAAATAATTATAATTTAATAATAAAATTATTAAATTATTAAACTCGAGTTGGATTCCCATGAATTATTAAACTATAAACTAATGTATATATAACAAAATTCTTAAAAAATCAACTTCATGACCATTTAAAACACAGCTGATAACAAAAGTTTTTATATAAGCATATATAACGAAAGTATATAATACACAGCTCATAACAAAAGTATATAAGTATTTATAACAAAACAAATACACAGCTCATAACAAAAGAATATAAGTATATATAACAAAACAAATACGCAGCTCATAACAAAAGAATATAAGTATATATAACAAAATTATATAAGCCCTCACAATGGGTTTATCAACAACATGGCCCAGACGCCCAGGGTTTGCATGAGAACCATGCACCTCATTTGGTATTCATGCCGTCACGCATGGCTGGGCAGTGCAAACACGTCTTGTATTGTTGGTCCTTCCTGCTATAATCAAGAGCACGTCATGCACGGCCGGATTATCTTGTTTAAATGGCCGTCTAAAATGCGGACATAATTTTGCAGTAATTTTGCACTGGCTTTTGCATGTACTCTGCGGAAGATTCCTCAATAATACACAAAGAAATGAATGGGGCTGAAAACAAGCAATTCATTTTTAGCGCATTTTCTCATTTATGGAAAAAAGGCGCTATTGTGCTCCTCATGTCCGTCTGTCTGTCTGTCCGTCTGTCTGTCCGTCTGTCTGTCCGTCCGTCTGTCCGTCTGTCCGTCTGTCCATCCGTCCGTGACTTCACGTTTTCGTCGACGAGAAAATGCGCTCTCTGTCACTCACTGAAGTGAGTACTGAGTTATATTTTTGTCTCTGCTTGGGTCATCCTAACACAGTTTGGATCCGTGAAAATAAGTATCAGTGCTACGTCCGGTCTCTTATTGTGTCGTGTATAAGAAAGTGTGTCAATATCTGGACAATACAACTCATTTATTTCTGAGTGAACCCTCCTGAAGGTTTGTCCATTAACTAATTTACGTTGCGCTCGACACAAAGACTTGATTGTAAGCAAGGAGAACTTATAGCGGCCGGCCTTTGTACGGCATTCTTTAATATGCGATGATAATTTCGCGCCATTTTCCAGTCTAAAGATTTTGCTTCAATTCCGCGAGAAGCCTTGCCAGAACTGAATGTGTACGGGGAGTAATAAGGTATGTAAACTAAAAAAATATGTTTATACTATGAAACTAGTGAAGCAATTTCTATATCGCAGCGCGACCAGAGAACAAGCGTAGCACTGATATGTCTCGTGCTTGCCCAAACTGGGTCAATTTGACCCACACATATGCATGAAGTACATCGATATTTGGATAAAATATCAGTTATTCCTCTGAGTGTACGTTGTGCGAGACACGCACTGCGGTAGGAAGTTGCGTGAAGGCCAAGCCAAAATATGCCCTAAACATTTTGTTCAGCTTGACTTACATGTTGGTATTGGATATTAGTATATAGCGAAGGGTCGAAAAATGTGAAGCGATTGTTGCAAAATATTCCTAAAATAGAAGTAATATCGTACATATGTTGATGGTTTTAGAAATAACGGTTTTAGGTTTTAGGAAAATTTGGTTTGGTTATGGTTAATGGTTTTAGGAAATTCGGTTAATGGTTTAAGGAAATTTTGGATAATTTGTTAATGGTTTTAGAAAATTTTAAATGATGTTAAAGTAATTTACGTAGACCGGCACAAGTAATTAAAGGCATAATTGAGATAAGAATATAATTAGCGATTGGTTGATGGAGGTCTTAGAATTCATGGGCTAACTCATAAATATTCTAGAAAATGTACAGTTTACATTAAAACCAAAATTATTCATGACTGTTTTCTTCTCTCTTCAGAAATGACAAGTCCTGGCGAACCTTTTGCGTGTCTGGGACGAAACTCTGAAAAAATGCCGGTTACCGAGACAGCGACGCAAAATATTGCCACTTCAGTGAAGCAAGGCTCAAAAAATACAAAAAATCCTTCAGCGAGCCGCATTTTAAATGGACACATCCAGAGCAAACACGCGCGATGGATTCACGTCGATGGATTTAATCCCTGCAACGGCGTAAAAAATTCAAGGAACGTCGTCACAGGTCAACAAAATGACCGAAAAGACAAAAAATTTGAAAGGAATCATCGCTTAGATGGAAAAATTGCCAGTAAAAATCAACGGAAAGTTGAAAATGGGCGCTCATTTATGGTCGCCACATCGTCGGCCACCGGAGAAACACCTCCTGCCATTCGGCAATTTTTTGTCCAAATGGCCACAATATCGGCGTTCTTGGCCGCCATCTTTTTATTTGCCAACCCAGCAAGCGGCCAATACACAGGTGAGTGGTAGTACTCTCAACAATGATTCTGTAGATAAGCCAATATACAAATATATCGGCCAATATACAAATATATTGGCCAATATACATATATATCGGCCAATATTTTAATAAACTGGCCCATTTGACACCAGATTGTCGATAATTGCTATAATATACTCTAAATACCAGTAAAATGTTGTAATATTACTTAATTCTCTAAATTAGTAATTTATGATCCTAAAATAACAGTTAAATGGCCTACCAACCCGCCAATAGCCAATTAATCTGTAAATTAATTTAAATAAAGCGCTTGCGATCACCTTCTGAAATACCTGGACAATTCCTATTTGTAATTGCCAAAAAACAGATAAGTGGAATAACTTCATGAATCAACAAGAACTATCAACTTCCAACCTATCTATTGAAATTAGATTGAATTTTCAAGTGTTGTAATTGTCTTGGAGGCATAAATTGTATTTAAAATCGTTATTAAGATAATATTTGCTATTTTTCAAAAACCTATAATGAAATGAAAAGCTCTTTTTTGCTGCTTTTCATCAAGGGATAAAATGACAAGTTTAATGTAAAAATTTGTTCTCAGTTCTGTTATTAGTTGAAGACAACGACGGTACAAAAATGATCGTAACTTTTGAATGTAAACATTTGAACGCCTGTACATTAAATATGTGAACGTAAACCCAACAAGCTAACATTTTCAAACCAATTTTCAATTATGAACATTTTCAAGCATACAAGTTTGAACGTTTCAACCGTACCGTCAACTGGGATGACTGCGGCCAAAAATACAACAGAAACAAATGGCAGCAAAACTGAATTATAAACGTTAGCCAAAGTCACCCCGGTGGCCGAAGACCCCAGTTGACGGTACTTAAATATCTAGATGTTTTTAAACAAGACATTCTATGAAAGTTTGCTACATTAACGCTTCGTTCGCAACGCCCCCACAGAGGCGGGTGCATGGGAAGGCATTGAGAACAACACGGCAGTGAATGTGTCGGCGCAGCTCGCGACGACAGCCTTCCTCCCCTGCGCCGTGCGCATGATTGGTGACAAGCAGGTTGGTCGCGCCTTATATACCTGGGCCTATACTTTCAAAAAAAGTTAAGAGGTCGTAAGTTCATCAGCCAATCATTGACGGACTTTCAAGCAAAATCCACCAATCACAGACAAGAAAAGAGAGCCTAAGTACTTACGTTCACTTAGCGAATTTTGAAATTTTGAAAGTATATGCCCGGATTGTTAAAAAATATGGGTAACTCAACAGCATAAAACATTAATATGACTCGGAGCATTACATAGAAAAACCTGTGAGTTCTATGCAAATTGGTTAGTCTCGTCTCACAACTGCTCAGGATTAATCAAACATATTAAAATATTTCTCAAAACTCATTACATTAATCTTTCCATTCGGGCTTTTGTCCTAGATATCTCTTGAGCTTAAACGCAATTGATTTATTTCGCAGTGATCGATGCAGATATCGATGCAATTTACGAATATAGGATCTGATCTCAATATACAATGATTGTATCGATCAACCCTGATTGTTTTGATCAGGGTAAAGATCCTCCTGCAGATCTCATAGAGGTTTATATATTACTCGCCTACATTTATACTGGTTATCTTGATCTTTATCCCCTGAAGATCTCCTAGATCTTGCAACTCTGCTCATCTCGATCAGCCCCTCATCGTTATGATCCCCGCACGTGCAGATCTCATAGATCCTGTCACACAGGATCTGTCCTCATCGTTGATCTCTGCACGTGCAGATCTGTCCTCATCGTTGATCTCTGCACGTGCAGATCTGTCCTCATCGTTGATCTCTGCACGTAGTGCCAGGTCAGTGCCACTAGTGACATACGAGTGGTACTAGTGACTGGTGAGTGCCGCTAATGACAGGCTAGTGCAAAATTCCACCTAAAAGTCGTTAATTAACAATTCTTCAACATTTAATCAAAATTTAATTAATTTTGACAGATAATATTAAATACGAATAATTGTCATCACCCTGCATCAGATCTCGACGGCGTCTGGCATCGTGTCGCAGTTCGTTCATCTGCACGTCATCGTCCCTGAGGCCTTCATCCTCGGCCCGTCCGAGTACCACGTCCAGACAGGCTCCTCCATCGAACTTTTCTGCATCATAGAGCAGGTCAGTCCAGCCTGCATCATAGAGCAGGTCAGTCCAGCCTGCATCATAGAGCAGGTCAGTCCAGCCTGCATCATAGAGCAGGTCAGTCCAGCCTGCATCATAGAGCAGGTCAGCCGCGGCCTGCTGTGTTATTGCAGGCCATGGCTAATCGTTGTTGTGGGTGATGGTAACTATCGTCTGGACATCGTTATTATAAAAATAATGATCATAATCTTTGTTCTCTTACACATAAGCCTCACACTTATCACAATGATTTCAGTTGTTTTCAGAATTATTACAGTCTTACCTAATGTTCATCTTCAGCTGTCTACTAAGTCTGCTCTGTATTTCAAGTAATTTCTACTATTTCCTCTGAGAATCTCGTTTATATTTAAAAAGACCAGTTTTTTAGGTTTAGTAAAAACTTTAAATATTTATATTATTAAAGCTCATGATGTTCAATATGAGTTCATTCAATGATTTTAATGCTTATTAGTCATTTATTAACTGTAATTATAGCAGAGTTTTATCTAGATTTTTCCTAGTTTTCTTTTTCCATGCGGATCGAAAAAATTTCCAGGGGTGCAGTCATAAAATCCTCTCTACTCGACTCAATTTACTGCTTACATTAGCTCATTTGTCTTAATTGCTCTCTTCATGAATCAATTTACTGCCTATAAAAGCTTATGCGATGTTATTGACCACTACCTGAATTAATATACCGTATATAACAGGCTCAGCTCATTTCCCTGCATTCACCAGCTAATATGATTAATTTACCGCAAATAAAAGATCATTCAGCCGTAATTACTTAGTTCATAAATTAGTTTACTACATATACTAGCGTATACCCACCCATTCGGCCTTTGTTGCCCACTACCGGAATCAATTACCCGCGCATACCCTCTAATTCAGTCTCAATTATTTACTTCACAGAGCCCCATTTTCCCTTGTACACCCTCTAATTCAGTCTCAATTATTAACTTCACAGAGCCCCATTTTCCCTTGTACACCCTCTAATTCAGTCTCAATTATTAACTTCGCGGAGCCCAATTTTCCCTTGTATACCCTCTAATTCAGTCTCAATTATTAACCTCGTAGAGCCAATTATTAACCTCTAATAAATAATAATATAATATAATGAATTATTCCTTTATTATTAACTTCACAGAGCCCCATTCCACCGCAATTCGTGTCGTGGAAGCACAACGACCGGCTCCTGAACTACGACAAGTACAGAGGCGGCGTCTCTGTCAAGACCGATCATGGCCCCAAGACGTCCTCTCGTCTCGTTATTTCTGGGGCCACAGTCGCAGACTCGGGGAATTATTCCTGCGGAGCGCCCAGCACCGAGCCTGCGACTGTACATGTCTTCGTCAGTCAGGGTGAGTGTTGATGGTACAGCTGACAACACTGAGCCTGCGACTGTACATGTCTTCGTCAGTCAGGGTGAGTGTTGATGGTACAGCTGACAACACTGAGCCTGCGACTGTACATGTCTTCGTCAGTCAGGGTGAGTGTTGATGGTACAGCTGACAACACTGAGCCTGCGACTGTACATGTCTTCGTCAGTCAGGGTGAGTGTTGATGGTACAGCTGACAACACTGAGCCTGCGACTGTACATGTCTTCGTCAGTCACGCTGAGTGTTGATTGTCCAGCTGACCAAACGGAACATGCGAGTATACAATGTACACGTATTTTTTCAGTTAGGGTGAGTGGAGATAGCACAATTGACTGATGATGCGATCCTAAATTGACCCTACATAAAGTACATAAAGTACATACATAAAGTATGCAATTGTACATGCCTATGCCAGTCTAAGGGTACCCACACAGTGAAAGCAGGTTGCCAGCGTGCTGGTTACCTGCTGAGACTGGCGCCTGAAACAAGCGCGAAAGGGTTGTTCACAGAGGAAGCAGGAAACCAGTTGGAAGAAACCAGGTATCTTTCATTTCGCAAGAGGAAGAAACCATTCGCAAGAGGAAGAAACCAGGTATTTTTTTGATATGCAGTTAAAGTAAAATTAAACCAATATTCCCTTACCCTCGCAGTTCATCTTCTTGGCAATGTCAGCCCAAAGTTTCTCAACTACAATTCGGTTAGAGTGCTTTTAACTCCATTTGTCCCAAATGGGTGTTCGAGCATACACCTCTGTGATTAATTGATCACTGTCGATGCTCATCATGTGTTATTACCTCTCAAAAATCCTTTCCTGCGGAGCGCCCAGCACCGAGCCTGCGACTGTACATGTCTTCGTCAGTCAGGGTGAGTGATGATGGTACAGCTGACAACACTGAGCCTGCGTCAGTCAGGGTAATTATAGATATCACAATTGACTGATGATACGATCCTAAATTGACCCTACGAATGTACATAAAGTATGCAATTGTACATGCCTATGCCAGTAAAAAGCGGTCTATAAATAACACAATTGGCTACGAAGAACCTGTAATTCTTCGTGTTTTCATAAGTCACGATGATCGATGTCATTATTAATGACTATACTGGTCGTGTCAGTATAACTGACTATACGTACTGGTCGTGTCAGTATAACTGACTATACTGGACATGTCAGTATAACTGATTAAACTGGTCATGTCAGTATAACTGACTATACTGGTTATGTCAGTTTAAATGTCTATACTGGACATGTCAGGATAAATGACTATACTGGACATGTCAGTATAAATGACTATGCTGGTCGTGTCAGTATAACTGATTAAACTGGTCATGTCAGTATAACTGACTATACTGATCATGTCAGTATAACTGACTATACTGGTCATGTCAGAATAACTGACTATACTGGTCATGTCAGTGTAACTGACTATACTGATCATGTCAGTATAACAGACTATACTGGTCCAACTACTGGCCGTACAACTGACATCAACACTGCCCAAAAACAATCAGTGTAGGCCTATGGTGAACCGACGAAAAAAGCAGTAGTTATACCGCAGTTTGTACATAAAGCTATACAGAGCAAAAAAAGTCCGGCTATTAAAAGCCCTACAACAAAAGTACTTAAACTGGGGCTCCCAATGCTTCAACTAAACTTTTGAGCGAAAGAGCCAATAATCTAGACTTTCTTACCTCCTTTTGTGGGAAGAAAACACGATTTATTTAACGTGAATTGTCATGGTAGCTTCATCGTCGGCCATCAGTCGGCAATATGAAGCTTGTTAAATGAAGACAAGAAGGTTAAAAAAGGTGTTAGAATACGGTAAGTTGCTGGGAAACCTACTGCATAATAATTCCATTGCAATTGAGCTATAACGACAACGTACGAAGAAAACAAGATCTAGGTAAGAAGAAAGGCAAGACCAGGTATAAAAGAACAATGGAAGAAAATGGTGGACAGGAAAGAATGCAACAAAACTGTTTTCTTTAGGATGCTGGAGGAAACGCTCGGAGGCCGTTGCCGCACACGATAAATGTTCTCGATGCTCTTAAAGGCCCCGTCGAAGTGGCCCCCAAATGCACTTTTTGGCGGGAACTCGTGCGTGATGTGAATGCTTCGATACCGGCATATGGAAACTGGCCTCACTTCTCATACACAAAGAGAATAGTTCCCTGAGAATGGGATGATTGTTTCCTATTTCTCTTCATACCAAGTTCCCTGAGAATGGAACGATTATTCCTATTTCTTTTCATACCGAGTTCCCTGAGAATGGAAAGATTTTTCCTATTTCTTTTCATACCAAGTTCCCTGAGAATGGAAAGATTTTTCCTATTTCTCTTCATACCAAGTTCCCTGAGAATGGAATGATTTTTCCTATTTCTTTTCATACCAAGTTCCCTGAGAATGGAATGATTTTTCCTATTTCTTTCCATACTAAGTTCCCTGAGAATGATTTTTCCTATTTCTCTTCATACCAAGTTCCCTGAGAATGGAATGATTTATCCTATTTCTTTTCATACCACTACTGGTATGAGCGGTTCTCACATCTCATGGACAGGGAAAATATTTATCTATGAATAGCTTCCAGTTCTGACCCCCGTGAAAACTGGCTCTCACTTCTCATATATAAGAAGAATAGTTATCTGAGAATGGGAAGATTTTTTCTTATTTTTCCCTAATTTTCTCCAGTTAAGACTCGCTCTCACTTCTCTAGCACAGGAGAATATCTCTAACGATGGGTGTGAATAATCACCACGGGACGACTGGCTCTCACTGATCATTTACAGAGAGAATAGTACTCTGAGAAGTACTCTCAATAATCACCCCGCGAAGACTAGCGGCTGCACAAGATACAATAAATTTTTCAAAAACTTTTCCAAAATATGTTGAATGGAGTGCTAGAGCTTAGTGGTATTCCATGTAGCGACTTGAACTTCTATGACCACGCACTTCTATCCTTTGTCCAGTTGCTAGACAAAGTTGCTGGAGATGCTTATAACTGACTGGAGTTGCTTGCAAGTCCAGTTGCTTCACGAGTTGCTTGCAAGTCCAGTTGCTTCACAAGTTGCTTGCAAGTCCAGTTGCTTAACGAGTTGCTTACATATCCAGTTGCTTCACGAGTTGCTCGCAAGTATAGTTGCTTCACAAGCTGATTGCAAGTCCAGTTGCTTCACGAGATGCTTGCAAGTCCAGTTGCTTCTCAACAATTCCAGGAAGTCCGGTTATTTTTGACGCTTAAATTGAGACAAGTCACATCTTTTGCTGACAGTCCGAACGCTTCTTGAAGCTTTAAAAGAGTCCAATAGCTGGGGGTGCTCTTGAGACTGAAATTACCACTTGAACATCGAGGGAGTCTAGAATCAATATCCAATGGAGCCTTGAGCAAACAGAGAACTGGGGGCGTTCTAGTCTTACAAGGAGTCCAGTTACTTCTTGCAGCTTAATTATACACTTTAGTTCCTTATTAAAGTTCCTTGAAGCTCCGCAAAGCATTCATGTCGTTGAGTATATATGGGAGATTTGCGATGTCCTTGTTCACGGCCGCGCTGATGCACCGCCTTCGTCGTCCGTCGTCCCACAAACGCCGTCACGCTATTCTGATGATAAGAAATAGAAGCAAGGCGGATATATATATTAAGCTTGATGGTTATAATGGTTGGTCAGTTTCCAGAGGCAACAAAGAAAAAGAATTGCAATCGTACATTATTAAATTAATTTTAAATGACCCAAACTAAACGAACGGATATGATTCATTGGAAAGTCACTACCTTCTGTGATTCAATATTGAATTTCTTGGGTCCTAAAAATGCCTTCAATCTCCGTCACTCTTTACAAGATAATTTTAACACAAATAATAAACAATTTTTTCAAAATGTCTCAATACAAAAAGTTTTTCGTACGTGAAATAAATTAATCTAATCCATGAGTAGAGAAATTCGAATTCTTAATTTGATGTCACTGAATCATTATTTAAATTAACATAAACCGGCTGTCTTTTAGGCGCAACTAGAAAAAATATTGTTCACGAGTAGAGCAACTCTAATATTCTGAATATGATGTCTAGGAATTGCTTTTCAAATAAACGAAAACTAGGCTTTTTTGACACAATTAAAGCGTATGAAAAAAATATTGTCCACGAATTGAGCAATTTAAAATTCGAATATAATGTCACAAATTTAATTTTAAATTAACGAAATTCCTGCCTGTTTGCTCAGGCGACAAGACGGCGGCCATCCAGCGCCGGACATCTGGCCAGGAGTCGGCGTTGCTCGGCTCTGTTTTGGCTGTGCTGCTGCTGCCGGCACTGCTGCTGCCAAGCTCCATCGTAACAGGATTTTTATAGTCAAAATGTGCACAAAAATACCGATTAATTATTTATCAGTAGTTGTCCCTAATTATAATTCAGAATAAGTAAATTTAGGCTATCCATCCTTTGTAAATATCCACTTAAACATATTCGGAACATTATGTTAAAATTTGATTGAAAGTCATTACGATTACGAAGAAGACGGAAAAAATCTCTGTCCATGCATCCATGTTGAATTCAATAACCAGATTTTATAAGGATGTAAATAGAACAGGTTAAATCTTCTTGTGCGAAGCCCATCGGAAAAATTGCACAATTAACATGAGTCCTTTTTTCAGGAAAGGCCCATTTATGTATAAAATTGCTACGTTGTTGTACAAGGAAATCTATTGTACATAGAAATCTTTATGAAATATCATGTTCGAATCTTTATGTGTTTTAAAATATTAATTAATGTATTAAAGGTAGTCGATGCTTGCTTAAAAATATTTATTTATAAGGGGTTTATATTCAATGGATATGTATAACTCTTGCCATTTCAGTTATGTTGCTGTCAAAAAAAGTTCACCCATTTTAATTAATTATAGTTAATCTTTTGCAGGGTTTCTTTCGGGTAAGAAACTACATTGTTCGAATTTTTGGATTCGTGATTATTTGAAGCGCCTTCAAAAGTTTTCTCTGAAAAATAATGAATCCACAATCCATTGACAGAAAATATTTCCCCTTCAACGTAAATTATATCCATGAATTTTTTTGTAATAGTCAAATTAGTCTCAAATACTGTTAAGTTCAAAGCTTGAATATTCAGTAATACCTAGAAAAAGGGGATTTATATTTATTCATGTAAAAAATTCAGTGCTAAAATTAATTACCAATTAAATCAGTTTCATATTATGCAACCTTTCATACAAAATTTAATGACGCAGAGAAAGGCATGCGATTTTTCGACTGATGTTGCAATGCTCTCTAATTTCCGCATAAATTTAGGCGTTGAATAGTATCATAGTAAAAATCAGCTAAAAAAAGCATAAAAAATTTAATTTATTGTACTATTTCATTCTGGAATTATTGGGATACAAACTTCTAGTTTTTATTTTTGTGGGTTAAAATTCCTTAGAAACTCGTTTCCATTAGTAGAGCTAAAATTTCACAGTTTATATGAAAACTAAATGACACTTGAATCAAGTCCGGAATGATAGCATATACGTATGTATTCATTCTATTGGTACGAAATTAAAAGGGGGAAAAATGCGAAACCTAATAATTTGTCTTCTTTCAACACAAGATAAAAACGTTAGAGGCTATCCAGCTTATCCTCTATCCAGCTTATCTAATGAGACGCTCAAGCGATCAGGCTCTTAAGAGACCTCAGCTCGTTAACGGCGTCAGTGGACGCTTCTTTTACCGTAAACCCTGTCAGGGGCGCCGCGATAGTGGTTTTCTGCACACGGAAAAGCGATATTGCGTACAAAGCGATATTGCGTACGTAGAAGCGGTTATGCGTACGGATAAGCGATATTGCGTACAAAGCGATATTGCGTACGTAGAAGCGGTATTGCGTACGTAGAAGCGGTATTGCGTACGTAGAAGCGGTATTGCGTACGGATAAGCGATATTGCGTACGAAGCGATATTGCGGACGTAGAAGCGGTATTGCGTACGGATAAGCGAAATTGCGTTTGAAGAAGCGTACGGAGAAGTGCTACTCTGAACAGAACGAAACATACCAACAGAAAAGTAATATTGTACTCAAAACAGCAATTTTGTACATGAAGAAGTGAAATTGAGTCCGGAGAAGCGATCTTACGTATGGGGAAGTCAATATGCGTTCGCAGAAGTGATATCCCGTACAGAGAAATGATTTTGCGTAAGAAGCAATTTTTCTATCATAATGATTGTTATTTCCCCAGATCAGAATTTCAAAGTCTTTCTAGTAAAAATTAAACATTATTACTGAAATCGCCATATTCCAAATGGGATAATTGTTATCCATTAGTGTATATCAGTTAGCTTGAGTTTACAAAAAAAAACAGATTGATTGCGTATTCGATTTAGTTCACCGGGATTTAGTTCAAAAGTAATGAAGTTACATTTTAATTATGTTTTTGCTTAAAAGTTATTTCGTTTTATGAGGAGCTGTCAGCCTCGACTGCCGGTTGTAATTATAGGAAGTAAGTGGAAATTTTTGAATTATTTTATAGCCGGCATGCACTCTGATTCTCTTAATTTTGTAAAATCTATTTATAATTACCATTAAAATAGATTCTTTGCATCGAACCCTATAAATTTGCACCAGTAGAAAACGTCTCAATTTGGTTTTAATTATCGAAATAATAACTTCGTTTAACGTTGTATACTATGAAATATGAGTAATAATTCAACAAAAAATTGCGTACAAATTCAGCACAAATATATGTTATTATTCAGCACTGCATATGCATTGCCGTTCGCAGTCGAAGCGTACAGAAAAACAACTTAATTCAAGAAATGAAATAATTTAATTTGGATTTCTATTATGTACAAATTCATCGCTTTACTTTCACGAATCATTTCCATATGTATTGACAGGAATTTTCATTTTTCTGGCGCAGGAATTATTCATCCTTTTATACACAAGAATTATTTCTCTTCGTATAACCGGGAATTTTTACTCCCTTTACTCTCATGAATTATTCCCCCTATACCAAACCGAGGGATGATGCGGGTCCATGAATGAAATTATTCACTTAGGGGGATGACGAAGGTCCAAGCTTACGGAAACTTTTAAGTTTTGAGAAAAAGTAGTGGCAGGGTATTATTGATCTATTTGTTGATCAGACTAATAAAATCTCTAATATAATATCTATCAAACTCGTAAGATATAAGGCGATGACTTGACAAAACCTTTGCTCACGGTTAGCACCAAAGTCCATTAGCTGTTCTTTTCAGAACTGTCGCATTAAGTGTAAAATGAACTGTTAGAGTTAGCTTCTAAACTTTAGACTCAATAAGTGTTAAAATTACGATAGTTTACTTTAATGATTTCCAAGAATGTATTATGACAAATTGTATATTGTTATGAAATTATCCGGCTGCAAAATTTCGACGTACGACCTATTTCGATCTTCCTTCTATATAACTGATATATACAATTTTCCATACTATGAAGCCAAAAAATGTTATGTAGCAAAGCTTTGAAAAAGTAATAAAGTAAGAGAAACCCTATTTACCCCAAAAATTCGGGTACCACCTTGGCTTCGATCGAAGAGTCGCTACACTCGGCTTAAAATTATTCTGGGTCTGCTCGGGCCACCCGTTCAAAATAAGTTTCTGGACAGAATCTTTTTTCCGGCTCTACAGTCGCCTGAGAGTAGGAACACAGTTGGCTGACCAGAGTTATACCGAGCATGCAAGCTGCCTAAAGGCCGCCTTCCGAACCTAGAGTCGAAACGGATATATTCAGCGGCTTATATATTATATATTGATTTATTGATTATATTTTATTATATTATTTTGATATATATTGATTATATTGAATATATTGTATGTGCTCTCCGAGTCCTAGGCAGCGTCTGATGCAAAATCGGGCCCGCATCTAAATTTTATTATGAAAAGTGCTGTAAAAACTTTAATTTCTGTTCATTCAGTAGGCATTTTTTTGACCTCCAAAAGAATTTTAGATATCCTTCTGTAAAAAATTCGATATTCGATAGTTAAAGTCGTAAATTCATCATATCTAACGGAAAAGTCGCATTCAAAATGTCTGCTATTTTTTCCATTTGCAAGTCGAAATTAGGTTGTTTTCATTTTTACTTACAGCTTTATTATTTTTTCTATATTTCTCAATCAGTAACTTGTATAGTTCTATTTTCCCAGATATTTTTTGTAAAAGTTATAGATTAATTTAGCTCTACAAGTTGAATCGCGACATTCTCGTTCAAATTTGTTTCTAAGGAAGCAGTCATTTAAGAGAAAACGTTATTCGAGCACTGCTTTGAAAAAATGTGTTGATGCTTCGCAACAAAATCTTACGAGTTCATCAATTCTATTTATTATTCGTAATAAACTGGCTTAAAAAATTATTCAATCAGCGTAAGCAATACTTTTTATAAACATTCTTGTGTACAGTTGAAAGAATATGCTCTCCGTCGCTCACTAGTGATTGTAAATAGCGTGTGCAGATTTATGAAGCTGAACCAGCTAAAAACGGCTTTTTAGTTATGTGGAGAAGTACCTCCGTGAAAAAAATTATGTCAATGTCCATGACTCGTGTGGATTTCCCGACATTCACACGGAGTGTCAAGTTTTCGTGTTTACAATAAAAGAGCTAAAACTCTGCTTGTTTTATGTAGATCACTTGCCCACTAATCAGGAGAATGAGGTGGAATCATGTACAATAAATATGGTTTGAATGCCAACTAATGAGGAGAATGAGGTGGAATCGAGTACAATAAATATGGCTCGCTTGCCAACTAATGAGGAGAATGAGGTTGACTGAAATGCAGTAAACACGGATCGCCTGCCAACCAACGAGGAAAGTAAGGTAGACTGAAATCTGGTAAATACCATTTAGAGCACTCGGTCTTCATAGGCTCACTAGGCCATTTTTTTCCATGAGTCAAGAGGATGAAATGATGTTATTCTACTTTTCGTTTGCAACAGAGAAGTTTAGACAGGAATTTAATAGCAAAATTTATTGGAACATAGATGAGAAAATTGTGCTTCTCTACAGCAACTTAATCACTAGAAACTGCTGAGTCATGACTGAACATCAGGTTGTTGCCTTTGTTGACTGAGCCACTGCGGTTACAAGCAGCAGATATTCACTGGACAAGTTTGTGTCTGCGTTTACTGAATTATAGCATTTACTAGGCAGCAAGTTAATAGAGTTGAGGCTGCAGGTTATGAGAGTTGAGGCTGCAGGTTATGAGAGTTGAGGCTGCAGGTTATGAGAGTTGAGGCTGCAGGTTATGAGAGTTGAAGTAACAGGTTATGTAAGTTGAGACTGCAGGTTATGAGAGTTGAGGCTGCAGGTTATGAGAGTTGAGGCAACAGGTT